CTTCCTTCCTTCTTTCCTTCCTTCCTTTCCTCCATCCTTTAGTCCTTTTTTCTTTCTTTTTTTCAATTGCTCCATTCATCGTTTCAAAATTGTTCGATAAAGGAGAATCGTAAAGCAATAGGTTCTAACAAGAGAGCATAATTTACCCTCTCTTGGTACTAAAAATGTTTTCGTTAAGTGTTCAAACTTTTTATCGGTTTTTATTTCTTTAGCACGAAAATCAATAAGTTACATTTGAGAGCCTATAAACTTTTCTCAAATTAAGACAAAAATTGTTTTCTTTGAGCACAAACAATGGCTTTTCCTACTAAGACAAAGATTAAATTAAAATCAAATTAAAACTATCGAAGTTTCTTACTGAAGTTAAAATTAGAATTATTAACTTTCTTTAGCAATTACCTAGAAATATTTGATAAATTATGAGATTTTCTTAAATCATAAATAATATCGTTTCCTTTTTCGCACCAACAAAAAAAAGGCTTTTCTAATTCAAATTTAAGTTCAAATTTAAATTGACAAACAAATTGACAAACTACGAAAAACATTTCCTCAAATCACGAAAAAATATATATTTGCTAACGTACGAGCAAACAAAGACTGACAAAAGCCGGCCACGACCCAACATCGTTTCATGGAGTCATAAAATTAACTCGTTCAGTTAGAACTTCAAAAAGTTTTCATGTGGTGTTATAATTAGTTTTTTTGAAGTATTTTCTCGAGTTCTTTAATATATGATTTCCTATTATCGAAAACACAGTGTTTTCCTTCGCCCTTGGTGGTAAACAATCACGCAAAAGACTTTTGAAGGCCCTCGTGGGAGGTGAAGTGACGATGCACTTTTATCTTTATTATTCATTTGTTTATCATTGGCTCATTACAAGATCAAAACAGACACCGGTCATTGAATGCGGGTTAAGTATAATACACTTCATTCCAAAGAAGAAAGTTTTTAGTGTCAAGGTCGCCAAAAAGTGCACATGTCGACACACATCGCTTCTTCATCGCTTCTTTCCTCTTTTCTCCATTTTAATTTCCTCTCACTCTTCCTTTTTTCTTCTAAATTCTTGTCTTCTCGTCTTGTCTCGTCTCTTCTCTTTTCCACCTGTTTTATCTCTCTCTTTTCTCTTCTTTCTTGTTTTTTTCTCCCTTTTTTCTGAGTTTTTTCCCCTGATGTTGTTTGTTTGTTTTTATTTCTTCTTTTTTTTTCTTTTCTTTTCTTTCTCTTCTGTTCTCTTCTGTTCTCTCACTTCTGTTTTGTTCTGTTCTGTTCTCGTGTGTTCTGTTCTGTTCTGTTCTGTTCACTGCGACCCGGGTTTGATTTCCCGACTAGCTCGTTGTCATGTGAGTTAAGTTAGTTGTTGATTCTCTCCCTATGACGCATTTATTTCATGTTCATTGGGCGAACTATAATTAGTCAGTATCCTGCTGTATTTTATGTTTGTACTTCATGCGTCAATCCTAAAGTCCCAGTCATTGACAACCAATTATTATTCTAAAAAAAACTTCTCAAAATCTACTTCAAAGAACAACTGGGTTTCTTTCTTACTTTTGTTTTGTTTTTTGTTTTTTTCCGTCTCGTATCGATTGTCTCCTATGGCAAAGCCGAGGCCCAAAAAAGCGATTATGCGTTTATCATAACCAAACTTTGACAATAATGCCGTGAGTTTGTAAAAGAAAAAAAAGTTGAACTTAAAGTCGGGGTACGAGGAGTATACGAGTCTTTTATTCACCTAACATGAACTCGATGGGACTTTTAATCCCCAAATACTCGACACTGGATGGCGGCCACCCCTTCTCGCGATTAGTGGCTATGACGTCAAATACATCCCAGAAATTGAAAATATTCCCGTACGCAAAGCATCATGGGTGATTGTGACGTAACATTCTTTGAACATATTTTATTCTGTGTTTTCCAGTGCCGCTCATGGTTCAAAATGCACAGGGAACCCAAAGCAATCCATTAACTCGGTGGTCGAATGTATGAAGACAGATTATGATCGTGTACAAAGACCCAATGGAACCGGTAAATACTTACTGGCTTATACCAAACATCCCGCTGTTGTTTTTGCTGAAGCGTACCTTTAGAGCCATTGTCATGGTTTAACTCCTTTTATTTCTCCATCCCATTTATTTAGATCCGTGTACTGTGATATGTTTTTTTAAATTAAGTAGCTTTTCCCCCTTTCTTACTAATTGAACCCTTTCGTTCTATTCTTCCGTTTCGGTCATCCTCTTTCTCTAACTGCGTCCCTTCCCATCCAATCCCATCCCATCTCTTCCCTTCCAATCCTATTCCTTTCATTCCCTTCCCTTTCCTTCACTTCCCTCTCTTCTTCTCTTTCTGATCCATCTTCTAACTCTATGTCCTCAGTCCTTTTCAAATTCTCAGAATTTTGAAGCACAAACATCGGGTAAGGTTTCTCTCCCCTCCCTCCCCTCCCCCTTAATATTCATGTACCAAATCTTTTACGAAATCCAAAGGATCACATCCGCCTTATTTTTCTCTTTTGTTATTTTTATAGACGGAAAAGCACTAAAGGTTAGCGTTGACATCGTTGTCATAACAATTGGAAGCTTGAATGATATAGAAATGGTAAGATAAATATTAACCACACCACAGGGAGCCCAAGCTCAGCTTTTATGTCGGTAAATGTAAATATGTGTGGCAAGGCTAAAAGTAGAGACAAACGTTAGCAAAGTTCTTGAATTTTCGACAAATCTAGGGTAAAACAGGTTTCTCTGCCAAGCAATGATTTTACGTTGACATAACATCAAAAAGACTGAAATTGGGCTTCCTGTGTTAACATTTTAGTATACAGCGCTGGCTTGGGCTTCCTGTGATTGTAAAAGGCAGAAACTGTAAGAGAAATTTACGTGAAAAAAAGACGTCGTAAAAAAGTATTCATTTGAGGAAAGAAAATTTGAATTTAACAAAAACCGACCGGTAGTGTATGCGCATGCGTTGTGAGTAACAGTGACGTCATTGATCAAACTCTGACTATTTTTTTCCTCCAAGTTTACTTTACTTTATTGATACTTTGGTCTTTAGGATTCTAATGCTATAAACTATAAATTATCGCCTAATAAGACAGCTTCGTATCTTTAAAGATATAATTATACTGACATGCGCACTCAACCACTAGTGCATCCCACATGAGTTAAGAAGTCACGGCGTTAGTAGCGTTTTTTTGGATCAATGTTTCAGGTACTCTGGTTTACCTTCAGATCGCATAAATCTTTCGCCTTTTACTAAAGATTTCCGTGGAGGGGAACAACTCAATGAGTCTATAGACTAATTTTTTGTCGTCCTGCCTTATCGGCGGGGCATTTTTCAGAAATCAAAATAATATTACAGTCCCAAAACGTTTTTTGCGTACGTTCAATGAATAAAATAGCTACATAGAGGCTACATGGAATCAAACGAGAAATCTCCAGAACCTGAAATCAGACTGAGAGAAGACTGCCAATAGCAAGTAGGCTAACACTTTTAGTACTAGTTCGTTGATTACACATTTAGATTGATACGAAGTTTCACGAAATGGCTATTTCAAGTTTCACGACTGAATAAGAACGTTAAATCACGCATGAAATATCCCTTTACTACTGTAGATACTATCGTATCGTATCATTTCATTATCACTGATACAATTTTTATTCACTATTGACCCTGAATACTTTCAAATGTTGACTAAAAAGTTTTAATATTTGGAATACGGAATAAAAGAACTTATATTGACGATCGTATACACGCCGTATGTCGACTTCGGCGAAAATACTTGGCTTAATCATATACCCTACTTTATCATATCAAGATAAATGTGATGTGATGATTTGTGAGACCAAATCTAACGCAAATTCTGACTCGTGTGTAAGTTTTTAATATCAACAGAAACTGTCACGCTTGCGTGACTTTAGTGACACGTATTTGAATACTAATGAAACCACAGGAAACCCAATTTTTGAGAAACCTTTCACCTTATAAAAAGCTAACTAAAGAACAGTTTGACGTTTGCTTTTTCCTATTAGGATTATTCTCTGGAATTCTACATGCGCCAGCGATGGATAGATCCTCTTCTGCGTTTTGATCAAGGATCGCTTGGCATCAACGGCACCTATGCTGTTCTTGACCAAAATCTTATTCAAAATCTGTGGCGCCCTGATAGCTACATAGAAAACATGAAGTCCCTCAAGTTCAGTTTCCAGGCTGGCCCCTTTATCAACCAGGGCTTTAGGCTGTTCCCTAATGGTATGGTTCTTGTCAGCTCAAGGTACGTGCACGCGTGACTTGGACACGTGAACTGATCCACCAATGGGGTGTTGTTGGAGATACATAGCCTGCTAAGCAGCCGAGCGTTGTGTGACAACACTATTTGCGGCAGCGTAGGAGACTATGTATCTCCAACAAAGAATCTTATGCTAAAGAGACTTGAGATAGTAAATTAAAATCTCACTGATTAACTTTATCATTATCATTTGTCAACCCAGGATTAGCTCAACCTTGTCATGCGCAATGGAGTTTACTAACTTCCCCATGGACAAACAAAGCTGCCCAATCACGTTGTCAAGCTGTGAGTTGTGCACCAAACAGAAAGTTCAAACGCTGAATTAAATACCTTTATCAGTATTCCTAATTTATTTTATGGCGATCACACCGCGGACCACCCTAAAAAGTGTGTGTGTGTGGGGGGAGATACGATTTGAAAATATAAGAGACTAGTATAGGAATGAGACCAATATCTATGCATTGAGTGCCCAATGTCTTGCCCTAGGGGGAGAGACTGGGGAAGCAGCCATATCCAGGCCGGGTGGGGGGGGGGGGACATTTGAAAACATATTTGTCTTATCTCCCTCCCCCGTATACGCGGTCCCTGATTGCACAGTCTCTGATGGCCGAGAAGCACGTAATTAGGATATTTTTTGTGATAAGAAAACCGTAGAAACCGGAGTAAAATCTTCAAAAACACAGGAGACGGTGACTAACCAAAAAGCAACTATACTCGATTACACATATTATGACTAAGGGTCCTCTGAGGATCAAACCCGGTATCACAGGCAGCACAACACCAACGGCCTAATCTCCAGCTTACATCACTGCCGCATGTTAGTGTTTAGCTAAAGCTTCTCTGATTCATACCACTAACATGGCCACCACATATTTTTAAAACTCTTTAGAGAAATCGACATAACACTTTCCTAAAATTGCATTGAGGGAAAACTCAAGGAATCGAGCATGAGTTTTCCAACCACCGTTTTATTATTATTATTTTTATGTTCTAGATTTTTTCACCGAAGAAGACCTGTACTATGACTGGGGCGAAGTGTACATCTATGACGGCGTGGAGATGAATCAGTTTGATATTCTTGGGGTAGAAAGCAAGAGAAGTAGCCTGAAGTTCACGTCTGGTATGAACTGAAAAAACCCGGGCCGGAAGGGGGGAGGAGAGGGGGTGAGGGAGGATTTTACCTTTTTTGAAAACATTTTTGCCTTGCCTTGCCTTGCCTTGCCTTGCCTTGCCTTGCCTTGCCTTGCCTTG